GCCACTGAATTTTGGGTTGTCCGTTGTGCAGGAATAGATTACTGATACAAATATAAAACAGTTTGAGGCTGGTGACAGAGGAAGGAAGTGGCCACTACATGGGGCACAGGAAGAGAGTAATTCCCAAAGGCAGAACAAACCTGAACTCTGTATACTTGCCCAACTGTTTGCTTCCCCCAGCTTTAGTATAATATAATCCTTGTGGATGTGTCTCAGAGGTGGTTCTGTTTTTTTGCTATCATATAAAGTATCAGAAAATTTTCCCCAGTGGACGCAAGAGGCAAGAAATGGAGGCAGTGAATTCCACAATTAAAAGTCACCATCTTGAGGGCACTTGGGTGGCTCAGTTGGTTGGGCGTCCGACTTCGGCTCAGGTCATGATCTCACAGCTCTTGGGTTCGAGCTCCGCATCGGGCTCTGTGCTGACAGCTCAGAGCCCGGGGAGTCTGCTTCGGATTCTGTGTCTCCCTCTCTCTCTGCTCCTCCCCTGCTCGCTCACTCTCTCTCTCTCTCTCTCAAAAATAAACATTAAAAAATTTTTTTTTAATTTAAAAAAAAGTCACCATCTTCACCAGAAAGATGCCCAACTGAAAATTCATTGGTGATATGTTTATATTATACAAGGTCACTACGAGTTTACCTGTTGAGGCCAGGTAAAATGTGGATCAGTATCTCAATCCAACGAGTCGTTTCAAAGCTAAACTAGCTTCCTGAAGGTTTGCCAAAGGATGTGTGCTTGTCAACCCAGGAAAAATGTAGCATAATTTAAGATCACTGATAACGATGCCCTGACACATTTATTCTTAGCCCCATAATGTGTGTATCTTCAACTGAATCTCTGGAAGTAAGGCAAGGCAGTCCATCGAATGTCCCTGTGGGTCAGTGGGTAAGCCCAGCTGTCAGAGAGCTGAGAAGCCACAAAAGCAATCCATCAATGTGCGTATCTGAAATCTCAGAGATGATATTTTATTCCAGAATTTCGTGTGTGCTAAGTCTCAATCTATTCTACTCTGCGGGAAATACAAAACAAGCAGAGAGCAATTCCAAAAATCAAGTTGGTTTGTACACTGTCCTTTGTTAAAACAACTAAATGGGGGCTCTCTGCATGTCAAAAGGTATCGGCTGGGTCTTCATTATCGGTGATTTTTAATTTTCTTTAATGTTTATCTCTTCCTCTTTTTGCCCAGGGAAAAGTGTTGGTCTCAGGGAGAAGTCACACATCAACTCAAAATCTGGCATCTAGATGAGGGCTTGCTTGTAATTCTAACTGTCCATTGTTCTATCTAAATGCCAATGTAACCAAAAATAACTAAAAATGGAAAGAAAGAAAAAAAATCCCCTAAAAACAATAGTTGTTTAATTCCAAGGTTTTTTTTCATATATCTATGTATCTAGATATAGATATAGATCAATGGAAGTTGTGGCTCTTTAGTTTAACCCTCCTGCAATTGCAGCAGGATTTTTCTCCTGCATTGACTTCTTTCTCTCCATATCTGTTTTGGAAATAACCATGGACTTGAGTCCACTGCCAGAGTGCGGTCTGCCTAAGAGAATTAATTTTAACTCATGGTACTTTCAAATTAGCCAGACCACAGAACTGACCACCTCAGAGTCAAAAGCATGGCCAGTGTTCTCTCCTCCCTCCAGGTCTGGAGGAGAGCTGGGACCATTTTCTCAGCACTCAGCAAAGCTCCGGCCAAGACGCGCTGCTGGAAGTTGTGCGGAAATTTGGGAACTACTTAGCCACCATGGGTCAGCATCTAAAATAGGCTGAGGCTCTGAGCTATGCTCAAGGACCCTCTACACATGAACAAAGTTATTAAGCTAATTTAATACATTTAAAGCCAACAGAGTCCATGACATCCCTGGAGTAAAAGTCACTGGGGACAAACTCCAGCTTCTCTGTCACCAAAATTAACGAAAGAAGTGCCTGCTGGCTTTGTCTGTTTGTCTCTTTTTCCTGGGAGCTCCATGCTCTCCTGTGGCTCACTGGTCCCCTTTTCGCCTCTCCCACCTCATTGTATGCACAATATCCCTTCCCCGCCCAGTATGCCTGAACCTTGCCCTGGAAAACTCTAAGATAGATTCCCTGCAACTGGGGTTCATTTCTTAGTCCTTTCTCTCTCCCTCTGGGAAGGTTCCAGCCCCGTCTGGTCCAGCTTAAGCCATGCCTGTTGCTTTTTGAGAACAATCAGCATTTTCTTTCCATTGTTGCACACGATCTGGACACCTGAACAGTGTGATCCCTAGAGAACTCATCGCCAATGCTTGCTTAGCAGAAAGATTTTCAAACATCTCCTTTCCTCCCATCACCTCTGTCCTTTCCGACATGAGGGAGGAGAGATTTAAAATTTGGGTGGCTGTTCTGAAGAGCTAGCTTGCACACAGCAAGTCACAGGGGAGATACTGAAAACAACATCTGTGAGAGGTCCTGCTGACTCGACCGCCTGGCCTTAGGTCATGTCCTTCAAGAGGTGTGTGTCCTCAGCACCACTCTACCTGCATCGGTTGACCAGGACTGCTCTGCCATCTTCTCACCGAGAACTACTGTGACTCAGGGGGAGAAGTCCAAACCCTCGGAGAAAAGTTGCTGAACCAAATATCCCGTTGCTACTCAGTTTTTCTGTAATCTCCCTTTTACCACCTGGACTGAAGGTCTCAAAATTCTATCTCCCAGACTCTTTTTGCCTGCTGGGTGCCAGATAAGTTTGCAAACAGGAGGCACCTGTCAGAGAACAGAAGGCAAGAAGAAGGTGGAGCTTCAGGGAGGGTTTCCTGGACTCCTGAACTATCGGCAGGAGTGTGGGCTCCTGATTTCACCCTCATCGACGATGGCGTCAGTTCCAGAAATGTCAGCAATAAGGCCAGGCTTATGAACTTTGGGTGACAACACCATGGCACCATTTGCTCCTCCAGCTCTTTTTATATTTTTTAACCAATTCCCTGTGTTAAATTCTCCTCCATTTGAAATACCTAGCATGGTTTCTGTTTTCCCAATTACTGACCAATACGAACTCCTACCTAAAACATAGAAAAAGAGAAGCCTAGAATCAATCTGAGTCTGTTATCTGGGTTTATTTGGACCTGTTGCTCTCGGCAAATGGATACAAGGTATGGTCCAGGCTGTGACTCTTGACCTAGAAGGGTTCGTATCACATCTTGGGCAAGATCCCTCAGCTATAGCTCAGTACCCACAGAACTGAAGAGCGAGAATGGCTGCCAGGGAAGACCATGGACAGAGGTGCCGTACTGAAGACAGCCCTGGGACTGGGGCCAGAGTTGTTACTGTTATATTTCTGCCCCCAGAGGGTAGCATCCAATTTCAGTCTTGCTCCTGAACTATATGCCCCAGACAATGAACAGTCAGGAACGAGTCCTTGGCATAAGGCACATTCGCAGACTGAGCTGACCAGTTCTCCGGAGGACGGGCAGATACCAACAAGGGAGGAGCCAAGCGCCTATGGCAGTTGCTTTAGCACGTCAGTGCCAGAGGTATCTCTGGATCCAGGAACTTTGGGCCTGAGAGCCTGGAGACACAGGCTTGGCTCTATACAACCTTGCTTATGTCAGGTGACCTCTCAGGCCTCATCTGTAGAATGGGGAAGGGACTAGAATATTCTGTAAGGGTGGGTCCTGGCAGCTCTAATGGTTCATGAGTAAATGATCCTCTGGGAGAGTGGTTCTCAACCACTTGGAGGGAGCTTTGGAAAAATACCAGGGCCCCAGTGATTCAGATTTAAATAGAAGCCAGAGTTGAAAAACCACTGTCCCAGAGCAGTCTGCCTCAGTATTTAAAGGACACAGGAATCCCCTGGGGATCTTATTCACATGTGGATTTTCATCTGCCAGGTGTGGGATGGGTCACAAGATTCTACATTTCTAACAAGCTTCCTGCTGGTGCTAACACTGCTGGTCCAAGGGCACTATTTCTGGCATAAAGGTATTAAAGTTCTTCCCATATTTGATATTTTTTTTAACGTTTATTAATTTTTGAGAGAGAGAGAGAGACAGTGCGAGAGAGGGAGGAGCACAGAGAGAGGGAGCCACAGAATCCGAAGCAGGCTCGAGACTCCGAGCTGTCAGCACAGAGCCCGATGTGGGGCTCGAACGGGTTAACCACGAGATCATGACCTGAGCCAATGTCAGACACTTAACCGACTGAGCCACCCAGGCGCCCCCCCCCAAGTTTGATATTCTTAAGGCAGATTCTCAAACTTCAGAGCATGAGAATCCCCTGGAGGGCCTAAGAAAATGCCAATTGCTAGACCCCCACCCCAGATCTGCTGAATTAGAATCTGCATTTTTACCAAGGTTTCCAGGTGATTCCAATGCACTTTAAAGTTTGAGAAGTACTGCCTTACATCAGGGGCTCTCTTTCAGCCCTTCAGAATGCCCCAGGGGCTCCTTAAAGTGCAAAGCACTGGGCCCCACTCCCAGAGCCTCTGATTCAGCAGATCTGGGGCAATGCCAAGAGTTTGCCTTTCTAAAGAATTCCCAAGTGCTTCTGTAGCTCCCAGGGGCACACCTTAAGAACCATTGCTCAACAAACCCAGAGTCAGGTAACATTTCCAAATCCCAGCTTAGCAAAGGGAGTGCCTGCTGACTGACCATCCCATCGCAGTCTACAATAAATGAACTCCGTCTGTCAGCTCAAAGACACACAGATGTTCTCTGTGGGACTGTCCTGCAAACGTCAACCACTCCGCTCAGTGCTTTAGGGCAGATCCCTGGACTGAAGCAGCACCCCTGACAGCCTGCCACGGCCTCAGGAGCAAGCCAAGAAAGAGAGGCATTAGATGCAAGCCCCTGGCGGTGAAGTGGGCTCTAGGATAGAGCCTGAGGTTAGGTCTGGGCTAAGCCACAGGACTAGGGATGAAGAGAGCTTCTGGAAGCAAAGCTGGGTACTTACGCTTTACATTTGGAGTGCTAATGCTTCCTGTAAAATCCACTGTAGGAACCCACCCAAAGTATGCGCTCCTTGAAGATGGGTATTTTCTTACCGACACAGGAGGCTGGGCGGCCGCTCCAGGCCTTGTTGTCCATGCATGTGACCGTCCGCTCCCCTTTCAACGTGTATCCTGGTGAGCAGTAGTACTCACACCGGGAGTTAAAGTAGGCACCATCGACGCACTTAAACCCTCCATTCGCTGGCATGGCCAGAACGGGGCACCGCTTTTCTGAAAAAGAGAAAACCAGACACTCAGCATTCCTTAGTTTTTGTCCATAGAGTTTGAGCCCAGAAACTCTGAAAACACAGAGTGCAAAGCCAATTTAAAGATCACAGATAGAGTGGGTCAGTCAGTTAAGTGTCCGACTTCAGCTCCGTTCATGATCTCACTGTGAGTGAGTTCAAGTCCTGCATCGGGCTCTGTGCTGACAGCTCGGAGCCTAGACCCTGCTTCAAATTCTGTGTCTCCCTCTCTCTCTGCTCCTCTCCCACTCATGCTCTATCTCTCTCTGTCTCTCAAAAATAAATAAATGTTAAAAAAAATTTAAAAAGAAGATCACAGATAGAGGGGCGCCTGGGTGGCTCAGTGCGTTAAGCATCCAACTTTGGTTCACGAGTTCAAGCCCCGCGTCTGGCTCTGTGCTGATGGCTCGGAGCCTGGAGCCTGCTTGGGATTCTGTGTCTCCCTCTCTCTCTCTCTGCCCCTCTCCTGGTGGTGCTCTGTCTCTCTCTGCCTCTCAAAAATAAATAAACATAATACAATTTTTAAAAGATCATGGCTAGAACCAGAGAAACCATGGGTGGCTGCTTGTTACAAGGAAGAGGCACACAGTTTCATATCAGACTGGCTTGGATTGGCATCCTAGCTAAGCCAGTGTTTCAGGTCGGGTTCCTCAGAAGCAGACCCTGAGGCGTGGATTTGTGTACAAGTGATTTAGTGAGAAAGTTCTCCCAAGGGAGACCAGCGAGGGTCGGAGAAGGTAGGACAGGGGAAGGAAGGAAGGAGGCCAGGCAAGATGGGATCTCAGGCAAAGTCAGCCTTGGCCTGCCCGCCCCCCCCCCCAGGGGAGCTCTGGAGCAGAGTGACACCGGGGTTTGTCCTGTCTCCACACAAGGAAGTTGGGCACCCATAATCCTTTACCAGTCAGTACTGGGCAGCTCCAGGCCTACTGGGGATGCCCTCCCTGTCAGAACAAAGAGAACAGCCCTCGGAAGGAACACAGTCTCCTCTCTTCCTCTGAAGAAGATCTAACATGCAAGTCAGAAGCTGGGGGATGGACACCCAGAATTGGGAAAACAGGACCCAAGGATATCCGGGCAAAGCACCAAAAGTGTCCACTATGTATACAGTCACCCTGTCACATGGTCTGCATAGGCGGGGTCATATGGCTGCAGCCCGGAACCTCAGTTTCCCCAACGATAAAGTTAAGGTACTGGCACCCATGTCAATAGCCTCAATGCAAAAACTGGACATATGTCAAACGCCCAGCATACAACAGGTGCTCAATTAATGGTGGCTGTTTCGAATAACAATGGCACCTGAAATGTGCTTCAACAATGCTGTACCTCTGGCAGTTGCCTGAATGTGATGTGACTTCTCCTCCAGCTAAAAGTGAGCCCCTGAAACGCTCTGCTCATCTTCTTTCTCCCCTGAGGCACGGTCCCTTTCCTGGAATAGCATTCTTCAGTAACTTTCCCGGCCGGCCGGCCTCCGTCAGCTCTGCCCTCTGGGTGAACACTTCTTGTCTCCAGGAACACAAGTCCATGACTTCGCACCTGGTACGTTCTGCACGATTTGCACCCCTGCTCTGCTCTCCTATGCTATTCTGTGAGACCCTTGATGGCAGAGCCTGCGTGTGTCTTATTTGTTTCGAGATCCCCAACACCTTTTCAGGGTCTAGCACATATTGAAACAAAACCTGTCTGCGGAGCAAACCTCTGTTCTCTCCCCCTTTCTTGAACAGCTGATCACACTGTGGTGTCTGAAAGGTGTTCTCTCCCTTCCACCAAATCTCGCAAACCCACTGGCATCTGCTCACAAGGTCAGTTTTTCTCATTAGAGACCACATAACATTCGGTAAAGAAAAAAAAAGCTCTAATCTCATCTCAGAGCAAAAGAACCTTGGTGCTGACGGGCCCCAAAAACCCACCCCACCGGGGCCAAGCTACTCACGCTTGCAGATGACCTTGTCGGACCAGCGCCTGTTTGACTGGCAGATGAGCTGGGAAGAACCATGCAGCTCATAGCCCTTCCGGCAGCGAATGTCGCACCTGGTTCCCAGGGCTGTTTTGTAGTATCCTCCTTGAGGGGCCCTGCAGTACACATCCCCATACTTCACCTTGATGGGGGAGCACCATGGGGTGTCTGCAGGTCGCAGAAACAAAGGAGGGGAGAAATAGGAAATGACATCTTTAGAAAATGTGTCTCCTCATTCTCAAAGTCCCCGGCTGACTGCACTCTATATTTTGGAATCTCTTAAGGAGTCGTTTAAGGTGTCTCTGGGTGGGGAGGTTACGATCACAGGACTAGGTGTCAGACATATCTGTCTATGGATCCGAGTTCCTCCATTACTAACTGTGTGATCTTGGACAAGTTACTGAACCTCTCTGAGTCAATACCAATACCTCTGTCCCAGGGCTCTTTTAAGGATAAAAAAAAAAATAATAATGCATATCAAACACCTAGCACAGTGCCTAGCACATAGCAAATATTCAATACATGCTTGTTCTTGTTGGCATTTCCCTTGAGGAGATAACATAATTCTTCTTTTGAAGGCATTTGATATCATTGTAAACCCTAACCCCAACCATCCATACATAGTGGCAAGGAAGTCCATAATTGGTTAGGTTTTTTTTTTCCCAAATCTGCATGCATATTCTCTGTAAAAACTCATAATACTATTTTAACTCATGTGAACAAAGCTGCAATTTCCAACGTTTTACCACAGGAGATAATTTTGGCTTAAAGTCACAGGACAATCGCTTCCCATAGGGAAGCAACTCCCCTTTTCAGACGTCCCCGGTTAGGCCCCATTCAGGTAAGAAAGTGTCACAAATGGTAAAGTTCCCAAATGGCAAAATTCTGGCGTGTTTTGATTTTTGTCTAGTAGTTGCCCGGAGCACAGCTAGGAGAATGCTGACAAATCTGAGCCTCTCCCCTGTGCCTTTGGAAGGTACTTGCTGAAAGCCATAAAATTGTTAGGGCAAGGCTGGCTCATTGGTGGGGAAGTTCCCACAGTGCCCACCTCACAATCTACCACGAGTGGAGCCTGCCTCGCTCCCAATGCCTCCGAGGGGAGCCCCCTCCCCACAGCTGCCAGGCTCCTCTGCACCTGGGCTGTCCGTGAGTGGGGTGCGTGCGCCATCATGTGGCCAAGGAGGACACCTTCTCTGACTTCCCAAGGAATTTTCTGAGGATGTGTTTCTGACTGCTTCTCAGCCATGAAGACCAAGTCATGTCCAGGGCTTGTGCACAGACCGTTTTGGGTTTGTTTTTTTTTTCTTTTGCGCTTTCAGAACTTCTTTGGCTAATACTTTCATCATATAATGTTTTTGCAGACAGCTGCCACGTGGGTCCTACAGTCAGGACTCAAGCAAGTATTTCCCGGACTTTCTGGGTAAAAGTCACGTCCTGCAGGCTTGGCCTGAGGCTGATTAAGTTCGACCATGCGGACCCACGGACACAGGCCTCCAGGAGCTTACATCAGGCCTACGGACCTTCCTTGAACAAAGTTTCCTCTTAACACACATTGTATGTGTGAACGTTTTTGTTTGTTTTTATTTTGTTAAGTTTTTGTTTGTTTATTTATTTATTTGGGGGGGGGGGAGCAGGGAAAGGAGAGAGTCCCAAGCAGGCTCCATGCTGTCAGCACAGAGCCCAATGTGGGGCTCAAACTCATGAAACCATGAGATCATGACCTGAACCGAAACCAAGAGTCAGATGCTCAACCAACTGAGCTACTCAGGTGCCCCATGTGCTAGCATTTTTAACTAAGAATAATCTGGACCCTGAAGTAAAGTACAAAACAGCATACATGTCTCCATTATTGTCTTCTAGGTATGAAAGAATTCTTGAACCAATTTTAAATGCCTTGGTCCTTTCTTCAGTGATGGCTCCAGGAAAGCCAGGAAACCAGGAGATTTCACAATCACAGGTATTGGTATTTCTTCTGTGATCAAATGATCTTTTTTTTTTTTTTTTTTTTTTTTTTTTT